CCAAATAAAATTAAACGTGACACCTTGATTTTGACACGTGTACTAAAAAAAATATTTTCACTGGCAACACTGTAAAACAAAAATGCAGAGTGTAAATATAAGTGTTCACTTACTTTTGTACATTTTTAAGTTTTAATTTTTAATTAATATCTTTATTCCATCTTGATAAACATTTTTGAGAGTGATTGTAATTTTTTTAATAAATGTTTTGTTCTTAATATATATTTTAATTAAGATTTATTGGCAATCTGGAAAAAAGAGACAATTATTTTAAATATTATCTCACTTATTTTGCAAAGCACAGTATATATCTCTCTCCCTCTTTATATATATATATATTCGACTCTCCCGTTATATTCGACGTATGAAGGTCAAGCAGCTCAATTGTTTGCAACTGACAAACCGACAACAGCACACGTGATTTGGTTATAGTGGTGAAGGTTTTGTGCAGAAACCGGTTGAACAGTGGTAGAAAAAAAGCACTTAATATCCAGCCACCGGTTGAACAGTGGTAGAAAAAATGACTTAATTCCCAGCCACCAGTTGAACAGTGGTAGAAAAATGACTTAATACCCAGCCACCGGTTGAACAGTGGTAGAGAAAAATGACTTAATACCCAGCCACCGGTTGAACAGTGGTAGAAAATATGACCTTCTACCCAGCCATCGGTTGAACAGTGGTAGAGAAAATTGACAATACCCAGCCACCGTTTGAACGGTGGTAGAGAAAATGACTTAATGTCCAGTTACCGGTTGAACGGTGTAAGAGAAAAATGACTTAATACCCACCACCGGTTGAACGGTGGTAGAGAAAAATGACGTAATGCCCAGCCATCGGCTGAGCAGTGGTAGAGAAAAATGACTTAATGCCCAGTTACCGGTTGAACGGTGGGTAAAAACTTGTAACTATTTTTTATATCTACCGCGAAACATTACATAGCAATTATTTACGAATTTTAACTCTAGAGCTCAGGCATGAAACTTCAGGATTTTAAGGCCTTAACAAATCTCGGATGAATTCAAATATTCTTTAAACAAAGTAAGAAAATGAAAATGTTTTTCAGAATGAGCAATACCAATACAGTCGGATGTACTGCTAGGTTTCCTAATTTGTGTAGAATGTATTTTATATTACGACATAATGAAGCATCTACAGACTGGGTATGACGATAAACTACATCCGGCAGCAAGGCCTCCGATCGGAGCGTGGAACAACCTCTTAATTGCTTGTTGTACCCAGGTCCACTTTGACACGGTGTGGTAACCCCTGTTAGGTGCAACCGCCTATGGACAAATAGTTAACTCTCAAACTGGAGTCAAACCATAAAAAATAGACTTTTACAATAAAAATACTAGTAATAGATTTTTGAAAAAAAAAATATATTACCAACAATACATTTATCTCTCGAGAAAAAACCCTCTTTCCAAAAATACGTCAATGAAAGCTGATCTACAAACTGATTTCTTACAAAGAATACTTATTCTATTCATACGAACCTATCCTAAAAATCATGTCGGCATTAAATAACATATTCAGGTTTGATATGCCGTAAAACAAAATAATCCAAGCCAAATCAAAACAATTTTTGCCCTGAAGACGATCTCAATGCAGCCTCAGATGCAACTTTATGCCTTGATCAGGCTTTTTTCAATCATATAACCATCTTGTCTCCAATTGTGGGGGCCAATATTTAGATAGTAATCTAGGGAATTCAGAGCAGAAGAGTCTGAAGGCCACATGCTATGGCGACGGGATCGTGAAAATGCTCAATTATTCACCCCAGGACGACGTGAGGAATGTAAGAGATAGCAGAGAATATGTGGTCACATTTAAATGGTAATGGCATTGACCCCGAAGCTTTACGAGAAGCAGTGTGACTGCATGACAAGGACATATCTGCACACGATCTATAGAACCCTCACAGGAATCCGGGATATTCAAATTTGGAAATATAGAAGTGTATATGTTGTTTGGGAGGTGGTAGGGTCTTGGAAATTCTCAGCTAGCCACTCTTTGTTTATATCGGCTATGTAGAGGAGAGCAGAGTTCAGATCGAACACGTGCGGAAACAGCTTGTTCAGGTAGCGTGTCCTGCACCTCGATGTAAGCAGTGACATTGACCCTCGGTTGGATCTGCTACGACATTGCACTACTTAATCACGAGGCCCTGGAACCTCACAGACGGCTGGACATTACCATCAGTATCACGTGTACATCACCAGAGTGAATACCTTAGTGAACATTATCGTATGTACCTTCGTGTATATCGCCTTAGTGAGCAAGTTAGTGGACGTTTTTAGGTAGAAAAATGAAGCGAGCACAGACAATTCAAAGAAGTCACAACGAGAGCCTTACTCTCAGTAAGCAAGAAAGTAAACTGGCTTTATTAAGATGGCTTCCCGTGATCAAATTGGTAAGGTACGCATTGTTTATAACAGTGGTTCGATTTCTATCGAGAGGCATATTTTTCGACCTAGAACGGTTGATAATAATTTCACTTCAACAGAAATGCGTGAACTAACTAAAATATCGTTTATAATAATAATAATAATAATAATATATGCGTATGTGTATGCAATTAGTTAATATTTGTGTTCTAAAGAAAAGGCAATTATTGTACATACGGAACGAATCGAAAAAATCTAGGAGTGCGTTGTGACAACCTGTCAAAAAAGTCATTTATTGTATTGGTCTGTATTTGAAATCAATCATCGACAATGAGCGATGTAAAAAATCTTACTACTATAATTTCAATTAAAAAGACAGGCACAAAGGCAGACAGATTGATATATATATATATATATATATATATATATATATATATATATATATATATACATACAGACATATATATATATATATATATATATATATATATATATATATATATATATATATACCCCTGTATGTATTTACTTATTATGCGACCTTGAAAACATAATTTTGAAGTTGATTTGACTGCAGTAAATGGATATATATCCAGCAGTAGATACCTTAATTTTATATCTCGTGTATGATGCGACCCCCTTAAAATTAGCTTCAAAATTAGGCATTAAAACGTTCCATGATATTCGAGTATATATATATATATATATATATATATATATATACACACACACACATATATATATATATATACATGTACACACACACCACACACAAACACGCACACACACACATACACACATATATATATATATATATATATATATAGAGAGAGAGAGAGAGAGAGAGAGGAGAGAGAGGGTGTGTGGGGAGAGGGAGGTTGTGGAGATAGATAGATAGATAGATAGATAGATAGGAAGAGACTGATGTAGTGATAAAGGTATATCAGAAAAGACGCACAAACAGATGTATCGATAGAAATATATGAACATATTGAAATAAATAAATACATAAATAAATGGATAGATAGATAGATACATACATACATACATGTATAGGAACAATATTTGTCATGAATAGAAGAGTCCCAACGTTTTCTCATTGAAATACTGATTTGGCAAAGTCATTTGGTCCGATAAGTATTCAAAACCCTATTCTACCATAGAGATTGAATTTAGTTCCCCCCCCCCACAAAAAAAAGCAAAAAAAAAAAAAGAAAATCATGCCAGCACTTACCTTTAATAAGAAATTGCGTCCGCGCTTGATTAATCTCCTAATCACAATAAGTTTGTATCTCACATTTGCAGTTGGTTGGGAAAATGCTGGCTCCTTGCCGTTCAGTCTTTCGCACGTGAAATGTTCTCTACCGTTATAAATATATCTCCGAAGAAGAAGAAGAAAACATGTAAAAGTTGCAACTCACTTTGTAAATATATCAATGTCTTGGAGTCGTCCTCCTGTTGGTTGTGTTCCGTTTACCATAAACAATTATAGACCATGTATAAATAGGCACCCCATGAGGGTAGATGTGTCTCGGGTAGATGAATTTTTTTGTGGTGTTTTTTGTCTTTTCAGTTGGTTTTGAAAATGCTGGCCCCTTGCCGTTCAGCCTTTATTTTTTTTTTTTTTTTCGAAAACTCTCAGTAGTAGTTGTAACATTTTTTTGTTTTGTGTTCTCATTTCTTTTTTTTGGGGGTAGTTGGGGTAGTCGGGGGGTATATGATTCAAGGAAAATTGATTTATTTGGATTTATTTTGTTTCGTTTTGTTTTGTTCAGTAATTTATATGTATTATTATTATTATTATTATTATTATTATTATATTATAAAAATGATGTATAAAAAATAAATTTTGGTAAAAAAAATGTTCCTATTTTGGTATATATATATATATATATATATATCGGTTTGTGATGGGTGCTAATTCCTAAATTAAATGCTCATTAATAATAGTATTTTTTTTTTTTTCAAAGGGTTTTTATAGTTTTAGAAAAATAAAATTGTTTTCCTTATTTTTTGTAAAGATTCATATCTGTTCATTAAATATATTTCTTCATCATTTTTTTCCCCTGCTTTCCTTGATTTTATATTTTAATTGGTTTGTACGTTTACTTAATTCAGGTGCTCCCTCTGATTTAAAAAAAAAAAGTGTTCAATGAAGTTTCTTTTTAGTTTTAAATAAAAAAAAAAAAATTAAAACATCAGCAGCAGTAAAAATGTCTTGGCTGAAGTGAAATATATTTTCTCTCCAAAATGTTATGATTTCGCTAGTTTAACCTTCATTTTTTTCTTTTTCTCTAATAAAAATGATTTTAGAGAATTATCCTTAATCTCTTTTTTTTTTTTTTCCCCGCAGAGGTTGTTCTGTCCAAAATGCACTGAATGTGTGCGTAAATGGGTCTGTGTATCGTAGCTCTTTTGTACTGACAAGCACCGTACTTGCCGCTTCGAGCTGGGCTGGGAAGCGTCATGGACTGTGCATTGCCTATATTGTAATTGTTATGTTCCAATGATCGTTGTAGCAGTCGGTAAGGGTGTCCTAAAGAATGTGCGATTTGAGAGGGAGGAAAGAGAGAAAGAGAGAGAGAGAGACAGAGAGAGAGAGTGAAGGGTGAGATGAGATGTATAAACGTCAAAGCGAGAGGTGTCTGCTACTCGTCTTTTTTGCTCCATTCCATTTGCCATAGAAAAGAGCTTTTTCTTTTCTTTTTTTTTTCTTGTCACCCTGCTAAGAAATCATTTTCTTATAACGGAATCATTTCTTTCTTTCTTTTTTTTACATTTTGTTTTGCTATGAGAAGCTCGGCAAAAGTTTGAATGTTTAACATCTAATTTTGTCTTGCTATTAAATTTTGATTTGATTTTTATTATTCATTTTCGTCAAATTTCTCATCAATTCTTTTTTTCTTTCCTTCCTTCCTTCATCCATTCTTTCTTTCTTTCTTTCTTTCTTTATTTCATTCTTTCCTTCTTTATTTCTTTTTCGTCCTTTCATTCTTTCATTCTTTCATTCATTCATTCAATCATTCCTTCCTTCCTTCCTTCCTTCCTTCCTCCATTCATTCTTTATTATGTTTTTTTTACATTCGTTCTTTCTTTATTTCTTCATTCTTTCCTTCATTCATTCTTCATTTATTTAATTCATTCTTCCATTCATTCATTCATTCATTCATTCATTCATTCTTTCATTCTTTCTATATCTTTCTTTCATTCGTTCTATCATTCTATCATTCTGTCATTCTGTCATTCAGTCATTTAATCATTCTTTCAATCATTCTCTCGTTCTTCCTTTCTTATCCCATTCCTTCATTCATTCATTCTTTCATTCATTTTTATCTTGCTTTTATTCTTTTTTTTTTACTTACATTGTTTATAAATAGCCTAATATCGCTTTCGTTTTTATATTTCTGACATCTATCTATCTATCTATCTATCTATCTATCTATCTATCTATCTATGATAGTATTTTTCTTTCTTACTTTGTGTTGATACCTGGCTTGTTTACTTAATTTCTTTCTTTCGTTCATTCGTAACTTAGTCTTTCTGTCTTTGCTTCTTTTTTCTTTCACTGCTCTTAAAACTGTCTCAGTGTTTTCCTTTCTTTTTCCTTCCTTCCTTCCTTCCTTCCTTCCTTCCTTCCTTCCTTCCTTCCTTCCTTCCTTCCTTCCTTCCTTCCTTTAATTCTTTCTTTCTTATACTGTGTTTATACATAGCTAAATACATCTTTTGCCTTTATATTGTTTACATCTATCTATCTATCTATCTATCTATCTATCTATCTATCTATCTAACAGCATTTTTTCTTTCTTACTTTGTGTTGATACCTTGCTTGCTTTCTTTCTTTCTTTCTTTCTTTCTTTCTTTCTTTCGTAACTCTTTTCACAGTCCTTAACTGACTCAGTGTTTTTCTTTCTTTCTTTCTTTCTTTCTTTCTTTCTTTCTTTCTTTCTTTCTTTCTTTCAATTCTTTTTTATACTGTGTTTTATACATAGCGAAATATTTCTTTCGCCTTTATATTGTTTATCTATCTATCTATCTATCTATCTATCTATCTATCTATCTATCTATCTGTCTAACAGCATTTTTTCTTTCTTACTTTGTGTTGATACCTGGCTTTCTTTCTTTCTTTCTTTCTTTCTTTCTTTCTTTCTTTCTTTCTTTCTTTCTTTCTTTAGTTCATTCGTAACTTTTTTCACGGTCCTTATAACTGGCTGTGTTTTTCTTTCTTTTTTCCTTCCTTCCTTCCTTCCTTCCTTCCTTCCTTCCTTCCTTCCTTCCTTCCTTCAATTCTTTTTTATACTCTGTTTATATCCCTCTCCTCGTCCTTTCTTCTATCATTCCTATCTGCTCTCGCTGCAAATCTTCCGCAACCCCCTGCATCCTAGTGGCTTCACGCCTTGCTTGTGGCGTAATGCTTAAAAAAAAAAAAATAAAAAAAAAAATAGCTAAATATTTCTTTCGCCTTTATATTGTTTACATCTCTATCTATCTATCTATCTATCTATCTATTTATTTATCTATTTATCTTTCGACTGTTTATTTATACCTGGCTATATTTTCTTGCTTTCATTCTTACTTTCTGTTGATACGTGGATCGATCCATCCATCTTTCTTTCTTTCTTTCTTTCTTTCTTTCTTTCTTTCTTTCTTCCTTTCATTTATTATTTGGGTTTTTCATTGTTATTTTTTATTATTTGGATTTTTCATTGTTATTTTTCATATTCTTTATATTATAACTACTAACAGGACACGGATTCACTAATAACATTTTTACAGCTGTTCTCAGCACAAACTGCAGCGTCAGAAAATGTTATTAGTAAATTCGTGCCTTGCTTGTATGACTATTCCCAGATAGTTACAAGAAAAGTGATAGCGTCTCTTTAAAAAATACAGCAACATGATTTGATCGTTACAAATGGTCATTGTTACAAACAACTGCTTTTATATAAGATAGCAGCCCCCCCCACGACAGCTATCTGTGTTGACACCAACTTTTTGTCTATTTAAGTTCCCTTCTCTTTCTCTTTTACACTCTATGCCCCCTCTTTTCTGTTACCCCTCGGAAGGTCAATTCAGGTTTATATATATATATATATATATATATATATATATATATATATATATATATATATATATATATATATATATATTATTAGAACAATTAGTTTTATTATATAACAAATAATCATAATTATGAAAAAAAGATTTTAATTCCAAAAGGTCACATGTAGTTCAGAGGCGAATTCCACCCCTAACAGATCGTTAGGTCACAAAATAGGATTTAACCCCTCACTACAAAGAACTGCCTTTATTTAAGATCTTTCTGTGTGGCACTATTTTTTGTTTCTCTAAGTCCCACTCTCTCATTCTGTTTTACTTTCTTTGTTCTTTTTGGTTCATTCTGTGATAGCAAGAGTGACACACCATATATTAGTCCAAGCGTATCAATATCTATCTATCTATCTATCTATCTATCTATCTATCTATCTATCTATCTATCTATCTATCACAATTTATACGTAAATTCATCTTTCTTTCTTTGAATGTTTTTATACGTGGCGCCATCTTTCTTCCTTTAAATGCGTTTATACATAGCTCCATCTGTCTTCTTTTTTTTTTCTTTTTTTTTTTTTTTTTTACTTTGAATGTGTTTTTAAGTGGCTCCATATTTCTTTCTTTCCTTTAATGTGTTCATACCTGGCTCCACCTTTCTTTCTTTGAATGTATTTGTACCTGGCTCCATCTTTCTTTAGTTAAAAGTGTTCATACATGCCTGCATCTTTCTTTTTACTTTGACTGGATCCATTTTTTCTTTCTTTGACGATGTCTATACATAGTTCAATCTTCATTCCGTTTCTTTTACTGTGTTCATACCTGGTTTTCTTTCGTCAAATGTGTTTATACGTGCCACCATTTTTCTTCTTTCTTTGAACGTATTTGTACGTGGATCCATTTTTTTTTGTTCTTTCTTTTTGACTGTGTTTATACGCGGGTTCGTCATTCTTTCTTTCATTGAATGTGTTTATATGTGACTCCAGGGTTCATTCTTTCTTTCTTTGACGATGTTTAAACGTGGCGCCATCTTTCTTTCTTTATACCTGGATATTAAGAAAAGCCTGTCTTTCTTACTTTCTTTGGATGTTTATACGCGGCCCCATCTTTGTATATTTCTCTCTTTGACTGTGTTTATACGTGGCTACACTTTTCTTTCTTTTAATTTCTTTATAAATGGCTCCCTCTTTATTTTCTTTCTTTCTATCTATTTCTGTGTTTATACGTTGCTCCATCCTTCCTTTTTTCTTTTGTTGACTGCGTTTATATGTAGCTTCACCTATCTGTGACTGTGTTGGAAATCTGCTCTTTCTTTCTTTCTTTCTTTCTTTCTTTTTTTCTTTCTTTCTTTTCCTACTTTCTTTCTTTCTTTCTTTCTTTCAACTTCTTTCTTTCCTTCCTTCCTTCCTTCCTTCCTTCCTTCCTTGTGTTGATACCTGGCTTTCTTTCTTTGAATATATTTATACGTGGCCGTATCTTCCTTTCATTCCTTGAATTTGTTTATACGTGGCTCCATATTTAGTTCTTTCTTTGGATGTGTTTGGACGTGACGCCTTTTTTTCTTTGAATTTGCTTAGTAAGAAGAGCATAGAGAAAGTCCGAAAAATAAAATTAGTATTAAAAGTCTGGGGAAAGATTGAAAAACAACCTATATAAACTGTAGTTACTGAAAAATGTTATGTTTTTTTTTTTTTTTGTTTTTTTTTAAACAGAAGGAAATATAAAAATATTTCATTTTCAGGTGTTTTTTTTTTGTTATTTTTTTAAAAAGTTATGCAGAGTTTTCCCCATTTTTTTTTTTTGCCTCTAGTATACATGTTTCAAAATAAAATCCTTACATCTTCCATCAGGGATGAAACGCGTCGATAAAGCAAAGTTTTCCTTTTGTCTTCATTCATATTGTCTTTTTACAAATGTATATTTAATTTTTACACACGCAAAAACACACACACACACACATATATATATGTAATTTTTTATTTAAAATAAATATATTACAAAATCACTACAAAAATAGCCATTTTGTTTCAACACCACTGGTGTCTTATCAAGTGATGCTGTTGAATATAGATTGTAGAATAAAGTTTTTTAAACACCACGCTTGTATATATATGTATATACTAGAATTGCGTGTTTAGCAAATTCCAGTGTTCCTTTGTTTGCCGGAACCAATTTCAAGTCACTTAAGGGTGATATACTCTACAACGGTCAGACAGAATTCATACGCAATTCTTTCTAACTGCTATAATGATAGACGAAAAGGCTCAGACGGATAGAAATAAATGAACTTTAAAAAGTTGATTCTGACATGGAACAACTTAACCCGAGTTTAGTCCCACTTCTTCCTGCCTAAATACACCTTGATTGCATGAAGGAGAAAAAACGCTAAAATCTTAAAATTCTAATATATATTACCTCTGTCTTTTCTATAAATAGTTTCATGGCATCTGCTCAGACGAGTTATTTTCACTGGTGTTCCAACTGCATGAATTTAAGCATGCTACTAGGTTGGCATCCCGATTCTACCCTTTCACTGTCAAAACGGTTAAATGTATATCAGGTTACAAATTTCTTTCGGAATTTCACTGATGATTTTTGGGAAAAAATATATCTCTTTTTTATATCATTAATGTTGTTCAGTCACTGCTGAATTGTTTATTCTTTATTTTCATCTATAACATAAACATTAATTGTTTATTCCTTATTTTCATCTATAGCATAAACATTAATTGTTTATTCTTTATTTTCATCTATAGCATAAACATTAATTGTTTATTCTTTATTTTCATCTATAGCATAAACATTAATTGTTTATTCTTTATTTTTATCTATAGCATAAACATTGTTTATTCTTTATTTTCATCTATAACATAAACATTAAATGTTTATTCTTTATTTTTATCTATAGCATAAACATTAATTGTTTATTCTTTATTTTCATCTATAGCATAAACATTAATTGTTTATTCTTTATTTTCATCTATAGCATAAACATTAATTGTTTATTCTTTATTTTCATCTATAGTATAAACATTAATTGTTTATTCTTTATTTTTATCTATAGCATAAACATTGTTTATTCTTTATTTTCATCTATAACATAAACATTAATTGTTTATTCTTTATTTTCAGCTATAGCATAAACATTTATTGTTTATTCTTTATTTTCATCTATAGCATAAACATTAATTGTTTATTCTTTATTTTCATCTATAGCATAAACATTAATTGTTTATTCTTTATTTTCATCTATAGCATAAACATTAATTGTTTATTCTTTATTTTCATCTATAGCATAAACATTAATTGTTTATTCTTTATTTTCATCTATAGCATTTATTGTTTTTTCATTTTCATCTATAGCATAAACATTAATTGTTTATTCTTTATTTCCATCTATAGCATAAACATTAATTGTTTATTCCTTATTTTCATCTATAGCATAAACATTAATTGTTTATTCTTTATTTTCATCTATAGCATAAACATTAATTGTTTATTCTTTATTTTCATCTATAGCATAAACATTAATTGTTTATTCTTTATTTTCATCTATAGCATAAACATTAATTGTTTATTTATTTTTATTTTCATCTATAGCATAAAACATTAATTGTTTATTCTTTATTTTCATCTATAGCATAAACATTAATTGTTTATTCTTTATTTTCATCTATAGCATAAACATTAATTGCATCTATACATAAACATTGTTTATTCTTTATTTTCATCTATAACATAAACATTAATTGTTTATTCTTTATTTTCATCTATAGCATAAACATTAATTGTTTATTCTTTATTTTCATCTATAGCATAAACATTAATTGTTTATTCTTTATTTTCATCTATAGCATAAACATTAATTGTTTATTCTTTATTTTCATCTATAGCATAAACATTAATTGTTTATTCTTTATTTTCATCTATAGCATAAACATTAAATTCATTAATAGCATAAATTAATTGTTTATTCTTTATTTTCATCTATAGCATAAACATTAATTGTTTATCTATTTTTTTTTCATCTATAGCATAAACATTAATTGTTTATTCTTTATTTTCATCTATAGCATAAACATTAATTGTTTAGCATAAACATTAATTGTTTTATTTTCATCTATAGCATAAACATTAATTGTTTATTCTTTATTTTATTTTCTTTATTTTCATCTATAGCATAAACATTAATTGTTTATTCTTTATTTTCATCTATAGAATAAAACATTAATTGTTTATTCTTTATTTTTCATCTATAGCATAAACATTAATTGTTTATTCTTTATTTTCATCTATAGCATAAACATTAATTGTTTATTCTTTTATTTTCATCTATAGCATAAACATTAATTGTTTATTCTTTATTTTCATCTATAGCATAAACATTAATTGTTTATTCTTTCTTTTTTTATCTATAGCATTTATTTCCATTCTTTATTTTATCTATAAATAAACATTAATTGTTTATTCTTTTTATTTTCATCTATAGCATAAACATTAATTGTTTATTCTTTATTTTCATCTATAGCATAAACATTAATTGTTTATTCTTTATTTTCATCTATAGCATAAACATTAATTGTTTATTCTTTATTTTCATCTATAGCATAAACATTAATTGTTTATTCTTTATTTTCATCTATAGCATAAACATTAATTGTTTATTCTTTATTTTCATCTATAGCATAAACATTAATTGTTTATTCTTTATTTTCATCTATGACATAAACATTATTGTTTTTAATTGTTTATTCTTTATTTTCATCTATAGCATAAACATTAATTGTTTATTCTTTATTTTCATCTATAGCATAAACATTAATTGTTTATTCCTTATTTTCAACTATAGCATAAACATATATTGTTTATTCTTTATTTTCATCTATAGCATAAACATTAATTGTTTATTCCTTATTTTCATCTATAGCATAAACATTAATTGTTTATTCTTTATTTTCATCTATAGCATAAACATTAATTGTTTATTCTTTATTTTCATCTATAGCATAAACATTAATTGTTTATTCTTTATTTTCATCTATAGCATAAACATTAATTGTTTATTCTTTATTTTCATCTATAGCATAAACATTAATTGTTTATTCTTTTATTTTCATCTATAGCATAAACATTAATTGTTTATTCTTTATTTTCATCTATAGCATAAACATTAATTGTTTATTCTTTATTTTCATCTATAACATAAACATTAATTGTTTTTCTTTATTTTTATTTTCATTAATTGTTTATCTTTATTTTTCATCTATAGAATAAACATTAATTGTTTATTTATATTTTCATCTATAGCATAAACATTAATTGTTTATTCTTTATTTTCATCTATAGCATAAACATTAATTGTTTATTCTTTATTTTTATTATAGCATAAACTATTGTTTTTTAGCATAACATAAACATTAAATTGTTTATTCTTTATTTTCATCTATAGCATAAAACATTAATTGTTTATTCTTTATTTTCATCTAAACATTAATTGTTTATTCTTTATTTTTCATCATAAACATTAATTGTTTATTCTTTATTTTCATCTATAGCATAAACATTAATTGTTTATTCTTTATTTTCATCTATAGCATAAACATTAATTGTTTATTCGTGGTGTTTATTTTTATTTTCATCTATAGCATAAACATTAATTGTTTATTCTTTATTTTCATCTATAGCATAAAAATTAATTGTTTATTCTTTATTTTCATCTATAGCATAAACATTAATTGTTTATTCTTTATTTTTATTTATAGCATAAACATTGTTTATTCTTTATTTTCATCTATAACATAAACATTAATTGTTTATTCTTTATTTTTATCTATAGCATAAACATTAATTGTTTATTCTTTATTTTCATCTATAGCATAAACATTAATTGTTTATTCTTTATTTTCATCTATAGCATAAACATTAATTGTTTATTCTTTATTTTCATCTATAGCATAAACATTAATTGTTTATTTTATTCATTAATTTTATTCCTTTTTTCATCTATGCATAAACATTAATTGTTTTATTCTTTATTTTCATCTATAAACATTAATTGTTTATTCTTATTTTTCATCTATAGCATAAACATTAATTGTTTATTCTTTATTTTCATCTATAGCATAAACATTAATTGTTTATTCTTTTATTTTCATCTATAGCATAAACATTAATTGTTTATTCTTTATTTTCATTTAAACATTAATTGTTTATTCTTTATTTTCATCTATAGCATAAACATTAATTGTTTATTCTTTTATTTTCATCTATAGCATAAACATTAATTGTTTATTCTTTATTTTCATCTATAGCATATAGCATAAACATTAATTGTTTCATCTATAGCATTTATTTTTATTTATTTTATCTATAGCAAAACATTAATTGTTTATTCTTTATTTTCATCTATAGCATAAACATTAATTGTTTATTCTTTATTCTTTTTTTCATCTATAGCATAAACATTAATTGTTTTATTTTTTATTAAACATTAATTGTTTATTTTTATCATCTATAGCATAA